ATAACCTGACTCGGCTATTGATTTTGAAATTTCATATGAGGTCATAACCAAGTCTTCGTTGGAAAATCTCATGCAAAAAGTGTGTGAAATTATTTGTTTAGAAAAAACTATTACATTCTTCTTACTTATGAAAGAATCTATTAGCTTACTCGAGTATTCTGGATGTCTGTTATCCAAGTGGCATTTCAGTTTCGATGTGTTCATACTCTTATTTGATAATGTTGAACAACAAAGAACACATTGTGGCAAGTCATTATTGCTACCACCACTTATAAAACCATACTTCAAATATTCATCACAATACTCTTGAATCCAAGAAGTTATTGTTTTCTTTTCTTTGATACCAAGCTGCACATCACTTAATTATAATTAGGCTTATTATTTTCACTAACTTCAGTTTCACTAGAACTAGTCTGCATTTGTGCATCACTTGAGGTTTTCTTGTGTGATGCATGTTTCTTAAGCCATCTATCCATATTGGAGAGGGGTTTTCTTAAAAATGAACTACTTAAAAATTTTTTAGTTAGTACAAACTAAGTTGCAAACAATTCTCTCTCTTCTCAGAACAAACTGACACTTCTAGCACTTGCCACTAGCAACTTGTCTGCTGCCACCTGGCGCTACTAGATGTAAGACTCAAGTCTCATATGCCTGTCAGTTTCCATTAACAGAGTAAGCAAATTTAATACACTTGGAATCAAACTCCTAAAACTTTGGTGTCGAAGAACCGATTAACTTGAATTAACAAATGGTCCTTTTGTATGAGACAAAATCCCCTCTTTGATCTAACCTGCAGACAGGGGAAGATCGGCTTGGACACAGCAGGGGAACGTGTCTAGCTAACATGTGGTTTAAATTTATAACATTTCATCGATTCTCAACACCATAAAACTTAATCTTAGTCTCTCTAAATTGCACTAAGTGAGAACACCTTAATACCTGAGGAACTGAAGGTATAAAGGCAGCCATCAACTTGTGAATTCTATAGTTTTGTAGCCTTAATTACAAACTTTCACTTTTCCTTCCTGTTATATTAGCTTAGTTGAAATACTGAGAAATCCAAGTTAGATGAAATGAAAATTTAAATTGTAATGTAGTTGAAAATACTAATTTATTAGAATATGTTTATATTAACTGTTTTAAATACTTTTTTTTAATATACAACAAGAGCCTGGAGAAAGTTTAAAAATGGTGGTTGGTAAAATTAAATAATTAAAAGGGTTAAAATTAATTTAATATAATTTTTTTAGTTTTCTGTGGACCGGCATTTTTATTCATGGACCGGTATCAGGTTGTGAACCACACTTTGGGAAATGCTGCATTATTGAAATATAATTTTTTGTGTACAACAAGTTTTCATGTGTGCTATAAGCTTGCTAAATTTCAGGAAGATAGACATAGTAAATTTGGAATTGTTATAAACATTAACTCTTTGATTCCGCATTGACCCGATGGTTGTTTATGATAATACTTTGTACATGTAATTCTATTAATTTCGCTGCAAAAAAAGTCAGCATAAAACTATTCTATTTATTTTTTAAAATTTAGCCTAACAACTTGGCCACTTCAGAGAACAAAAGACAGCTTTTGGATTCAAAACACAATGTGGATGTTCTTGCATGCTATACAGGTCAAGCATGAAAAAAAACAATTACGTCGATACATTTTGTAGTGGTATCTGCAAAATAACTTATCTGCTTATTAAAGTAATAAAAAAACATCGAACTATACTTGTCGCTTCTTAGTTGTATTTAGTGCAACTAGACTGAGAAGAAAGTTCTTCACAAAAAAAACAACATTTCTGTTTTATTACACATCAGTCTGTTCTACAAAACATTTACCAGTGTTATCTTCACACAAACTATGAGCCAAATTTATAGCAGATAGTGATCACCTGTTGCACACTACAGCAAATTCATTCTTGTCTTAACTTTTTATGCATCACAATATTCTATGCAACAACAAGCAAATATATTGGTGTAACATTATTGGCTACAACAACAAAAATGGTCAATAATGTAATTTTTCCTTATATTGGTGCCAGGCCAGTAGTCTTCAGATATATCAGTATACTTCTAGTTGATGCTTATCAAAATGTCAATTAGACTTAAAATAAG